AGTGGACGAACCGGGATCATTTCCAATATTTAAAACATTTACTGTGAGAACTCTCAATTATTTGGAATCTTGAAGTTGCAGAAGTGATAAATACGTGAGAAATGAAAAGCATTATGATAAAAATATCAAAAAAATTGCAATTTAGAAATGAATTTGGAATAAATGCATAATTATGATTTAGAGAGAACAAAAAACACATTTTTTACAAATGTAAAACAGATGAACATTTTCAGTGCAGTAATAGTGCAAGAAAGATAAAGTTGGTTTAATAAAAAGTACATTTAATACAAATGCACTGGGAACAGAGAAGACTTCAGTTCTCCGAGACTTGGTTTTGGACCTTGGAAACTGAACGCCGCTTCTCCATCTTTAGTTTTGACTGCGTGGGCGTCAATATGACCTTCCTCTGAAGATGGACGAGGAAGATCTCTCTTCTGGATTGACAAGAGAGAAGATTCATCCTAACTTCTGCAGTACAGAGGGCACAACCTGTAACATCTCAGTAATTCAGCTGCGGTTTAATATCAGATTTTGGCAGCCGTCCTGAAACAACTAAAGAAAAACATCCCTAAAGAAACGTAAGAATGCAACACTGATGAACTCCACATCATTTCTGTGCTCTGTGATGTGTAATTTAACAGCAGTCCGTATCCTTCAGACTGAAGTGTGACTATTTTAGGATTCTGACAGAAAATGTTGGATAGTTTTCCAGCCTGTTGTGGTTAACAGTCCGACAATACCACGACTGAGACTCTGTGATAACTGATGTCATTCCTGATGGGGGGAAACAAAACAAGTGTTCTGTTAGAAATGTGTGCAGGTGTTAAAAAACAATTGTAGGTAAATTGATCATGTGGTGATAAGTCTGTTCACAACTCGCTGATTTTTGTGTCCTTTGTTGTAGGAAGGAGATTTCTTCATTCGGACGCACCATGTTGAATACTGTGACGGGGGGATTCTAGACCCCGACGACATACTCAGCGATCTGGTGGAAGACAAAGACAAGGTAAGTGCATCCTCTGCAGAATATATTCTATTGTTTCTTTTTAAGTATGATTATGGGATTATACAGATTGGTGTATGTTTTTATGGAACAGCTGACTGGTTTGAGTTTTTTATTTGATTTTAACCAAAAACCCTGCTTCTTAATTAATAACTCTGAAAACAATATGTGTTAGTTAGTTTTAACTGGAATAGCCTGTTTCCTGACGGACCAGCACAGCAGATTACACTGGCATGTGCAACTGACCACCCCAGACACGCACCAGGCAGCTATTGTTCTGTGCACAGTTACAAAATCGCAGTATTTACTTTGGCTCATAAATATTTGCCACAATTTTTGTACATCTGCTTCTGTACACCACCGCTGTGCATTTAAAAATAAAATCCAATGTAATGCTATACTTCTTCTCTTGAGCTTCTCTCCACGCCTTCAGTTGCTGCTGTGAATTCAGTTTTCCCTTCAGGAACTAAAAAGTCTGCTCGGTCAGGTCCAGATCAGGTGGTCTTGTGTCATTTCACTGCCTTCAGAAACTCTTGGGTGTCGTTTGCTTTGGGCTCTCATCCATTTGCACTGTGAAGCGCTGTGCGATCAGCTGTGTCTATCAGCAGTCAAACATTAATAACACTAGTGGCACGGTTGCACTGGCAGGCCATAACAAACGATTTTGCAGGATTGCACAGACAGGTTTTAAATGTTTTCTGCCAAAGTCTGGCTTTCTTCTTGTTGTGTGTAACCAGTGGTTTGCACTTTGTGTTAAACTGTCTCTATTTCCATTCATGAAGGTGCCTCTTGAATACAGACTGCCACCTCATTGAGAGTGTTCTTGACTTGGTTAGAGGTCGGTAAAGGCTTTTTCTTTCATAAAGGAAGCCTTCTGAAATCATCATCCACCTTAGTTGTGGTAATCTGGCCTCACCATAAAACTGCACCAGTAAGCTGTCGAATCACTTTTGACCCTCTGAAACGAGCAGTTTCAAAACAGTTAATACTTTTATACCTGAAAGTCTGCACCGCAATTTGTTTTTTGGAAATGTACAGAGGTGTCATTGTCCAACCTGCCTTTGGGTCGACCGTCTGTATCCCTAAAGCTATAGGACACACTTTGGTTTGCGCAGTGCAACAGTGCATGACAGTCCCGTGTATTTCTCTTCGCTCTTTGGTTTGATGCTAGCTCACGCGGAGCGCGAGCGTGTGCCAAATGCAAAAGCAAGTAAAAGAATGCTGACTGCAGTTGATACAACAGTTTTATGCTGATTACGCAGAGAAGTGAGCACATGATACTGTGTGTCTGCTCAAAAGTGTTACAAAGGCTGAAGTAGAGATCTTTGTCTTGTATATTGTGTGCCATTGTATGTGTGTGCAGAGTATTGAGCTGCAGTGGCATATAAGCCACTCCCTTGATACAATAATGCCTCTTAAGCAAAACTCAGAGGTAAAGGTTTTAACTCGCCTTCAGCGTCAGGCAGCATCATTAGTAATTCACGTTTGGAGACTTGAGGCAAACGTAATCCATATATTCCTGTTTATTCTTATTTTTCCCCTGAAGAATGTCATTTGTCATTTAACCCCTTTGGAAACTGACGTTTTTCATACTTTTTTAAAAGATCTGGCATTATACAATGTGATCAGTCCCATCCCCTAGAGTAAGGGCTGTTTGATGATTGCTCGGAGCCTTAAATGAATCCGGAGCCCTTCTCTTGGTGGCTCCGCACATTAAAACAGTGTCAACATGTTTTAATGAGCTTGTGTCCTATGGATAACTGAATTTTTCATTTAGGTCACTGCTAAAAAAGTTGAAGAACCTGCTGGCTAGAAATTGTACAGATACAGTGTGTTTCCCTGTCCTTGGATCATACTGTATGCCTTTAAGCACGTATAAATACTGCAGGATTTGTTGGAAATTCACTGAACTAATTAAGAACAAAGTTGCTGTAGTTAGCAATTTCTCTCGAGGCTGTAAGAATCTGTGGGAAGAACTGCTGTTTGTTAAGACTCGGGCCTTTGTGCCTCTGTTCATGTCAAAATAATCACTTATTTTACATTTAAAAGGATAGTTTTGTTTTTGAGAATCTAGCTAAAGGTTTTTGGCTTGATTGGTCAGTGTGCGTGCCGACAGCTTTGGTGCATGGTTACGTGCATGAAGTGGCCCAAGACTGACCTGAAGAAATGTTACTCGTGACTGTGTCTGTTGCTAAGAATTGATATTCACACCTGACATTTTAGAATTTCATAAAGCCTGGATTGTTCCTCCACGCTGAGTGAAACGTCGTGATGAGCTCTTGTGTGAAAACTGTGCAGTTACATGACACACAGAGCCGCAGTGCACGGCCGCAATGACAGGAGCAATAAAAGAGTCCGTAAAGCAGCAACTGACCGAGAAGATTATTGTTCTGAGAGCCTGTTGCCATGGTTTTGGTGAGATTTGCAGAGCATCATGCACTGGTCCTGCTTTTGGCTGCTTGTTTGTGATGCTTAATGTGCCGGTGTCACAGTGTAGAGTTTCTGCGAAGATTAGTTCCTCTACGTTAGAAACAGTTGTGATGGTGTGTCTTTGATTTTGTCTGGACTTTAGCTCCCGAGACTGAATTATTTGGCATTTTTTGTTTTGTTTAGATTTTTTTTCTTTCACGTGTTTAGCCTTTTTGCGTTGACTTGTAACATTAAGATCTTTGAATTCTGTTTCCTGAGAGAGCTCAGGGTTATAGCAGTTTCAGTGTTGTCTTTCATTCTGCAGTTAGAGAGAAGCATTGAGTTAATGTTTGATATCAAAATGTGAGTGGAAGGGAAATGATTAGATAAGTGTTTAATCATTTGAATAGCAAGTTGGAGCGAGTCGAGCAGGTTTCTGTGTCAGAGCTGGACTTTTAATGACTGAAAGTAAATGAATGTCTTGGTGACGGCGGTCCCTAAAGATGCACAATACATCTGACGACTGCTGTATTTTTATTCAGCTTTTCCCTCGATGCTCTCTTCTCTCATATTCGCTCAAATAGGATAGCGACGCTTGTAGGTAACAGACTTCGAATGCAGTCAAACTGCCAAAGACATATTTTAGGGCATCAAATACGACAGCGAAACGCATCGAAACGTAAAGTATAAATTTGCGCGATTTCTAGAAAATATATATTTCAGAGCTGGGATGAAAACATTGCAAAACACTAATGCCCCCCAAAAGGCACATACACACAGACACACAAACAAATAAACTGTACAGAATCATACTCGGCGATACACACTCCTGAGCACCAGAGATTGCATATGAAATGAAAGTGTGAGATATTCATTGGATTCTGAAGCGAGGCTGTCATAGTATTACTGAGCTGAGATGAATAAATGGCTCCTAATCCCAGATGAGTGTTTTACTGTAGGCAGACTCAGACTGCCTGGCTTTAGGTTTAAAACCACAAAGAAAAGAAAAGATATTTGAGGTCCGCTGAAGAAAGAGGTCAGGAGTACAGTTTTAAAAAAAGTGGCTGAAATATACTCAGATACTGTTTCCCTCCGTAAATTGCCACCGTATCGTGATCGCAAACGCCTCCGCCGCAGTGATGGCGTCAGGGGTTGATGAATCTGGCTGTAGGATTATGGAGCGTCACCTCTGTGGTGAGAAAGGAGCCTGAGCGAGTGTTTGTGGTCAAGAGGAACTCTCTAGATGTGGTCGGGCTCGCCTCAGCGCACAGCCTTTGACCTGAAACCAGTCTCGCAGAGAGAGCCTGGACTCTGCACCACTCTGCGCTTGGCCCAGTGAGATGTTGGGGTGTTCCCAGCAGATGAAAAGGTTCCTTCTCTGCAGCTTTAGGTTAGGGAACAAGTCCTGGCTGTCGCTTGTGCTCACGTGCTGAGTGACGGTTAAATGGTTAAATGGATCCTGCCTGTTTGGAGTCTCAGGGTGGGGTGTTTGAAGGTGCCTTTACTGTGGGCTCCAGCGTCCTGGATGCTGGACAGACCTGGCGTACCCAAACTTGTGGCGTGTGTATGTTTGGAGGCCCCAGTTTGTGAGATCTTTAATTTCCACATCCAGCTCAGCTTTGAAAGCGTTCTACACTTTTCTGTGGCCACATGGTGGTTGGTGCCTAACGTGGCAGTAATCTCTGAACCAGGAAGTGGACAGAAGAGGTGAAGGGAGCTGGGAACTGAAGGAGTTGAGCTTGTTTGGCTTGTGGGACTGTTACTCGAACCTCATGTTCAAGAAAAACAGTTTCTCTCTGTGAGGACTTTGGATCCTGTTAGTCTCACAGGATTTTTATGTAAAATAGAAGCTGAGTTAAAAAAAAACAATAAAATTTAAAGTTGGCACATCTGTCCAGCTTTTAAGGCTCAGTCTGCTAGCATGCTACAACTGAGTGTAATTCATTTAGCATTATTTTCCTCCCAGTCCAGGTATCTGGAAATAAAACGCCTGATGGTATTTATCTGGCTTAATTAGGTGTAGTGAACCATCACAGTTTTATGACAAAACAAACACCGTATATGAAACATTGTAGGAGGAATATAGAGTCTGTCTAATTTAGAAAAGGAAACTCAGCCTACAAGTTAATGCTGCTGCTGTGTTTGGATACAGATGACACGTTATCTTTGCATTAACATAGAAAATATTTTACTGTTGTATTTTTTCATTATTCTACAGCTTGATAGGGAACAGTCTCGTTTACACGGCGCTCCCCCAGGATCCACCTCTTAGGAAAATTATACTATACCAGATAAAATAAATGATGTGGGCTGTTGTGCATTGTTGGTAAATGCACCTTTAGTCCCCCATCCAACACCCTCTCACTCCAGCCTTTTTTCTCCATTACCCTAATGCCTCCCCTGCACGTTGTTTTTCAAGCACACTCACAGCTTTGTGCCAAAGGAAATGAAAAGTAAGCAGAAAATATGGATTCCCATCAGCATTTTCTATGTTGCTGGAAGTGTAATTCCTAATGTATTTTTTCCATCTCGGAGGTATGCAGAAACAGTCTTACATGGCCTAGGGTGTGTTTAAAAGGTTAGCTGGTAATGGA